CTATGACCACTCATTAACTAGTACTATGCATGAATCGTCGATCACTTGTAGAGGCGTTGTTTCGTTTTCGAAGACTTGGCTAAGCTCAGCTTGGCTAAAGTCGAAAAAACAACCTGTGTACAACCAAAAGTGCTTTCATAAGAAGCTCCAGGAAAGGGCTGTAGCTCTTGTAAAATAATTTAGCATGCATAAAAGTAGTGGTCGCGGGACTGAAGGCTTAACACAACATTACATGTTTGTACTTGGGTATTCACTTTCATTACTCTTGGGCAGTGCTGCCTTTAAACTGGCATATAATCGCTATCGCGACCACTTACACTGTTTACAGCATATCTTCTTAAAACTGCATAATCGCCACAAATTGAAAAATTCTGATTATAAATTTTCTACAGTGGTTTCCGCGTTACTGTTCCGTGATTACAAGCTCTGACCGGTAAGCTTTCCATTTCACTCAAAAAAACGGGTACCATAAATAAATATTTGTTGTGGGTCCCTTTAAATCACATTCCCTACCGCGCTCATCTAAGAGTCCACGAAGAAGCAATGTATATCTCTCAAAGGCGATGTTTCTGCGCAGTACCTATAGTGGTACTAAAACAAACAATGCCACAGTTAAAGTGAAGTTTAAAAGAAAAGAGTCCTTGTTTCGCACTTTCAAAATGGACACAGGGGCATAAATCAAATTTTATAACGTTGTTTAAAATTTTTATGTTGTTTTACGAACCTTTTGCTACCAGGTTTCTTCACTATCTGGTGTAACTATGGCAACTATGATGCAGAGCGAAGAATGGAGAAGTGATCTGAAATTGACTTCGTGAATTCGATTCTTGTGCTGCCGTAAATACCGAATGTGCATCTCAGGGTTTCGGTGCTTGTCATCGCGCTTTAGGTAAACACTTATGTTTCATTTGGCGTCTTCTTTGAACGAAATAAAACTGCGTAGCACAAATTTGGTTTAACAATGGGAGTCATTGCATAATTTCTCGTTAAGTCAATGCCAAGGCGATGTACACGGCTAAATGGCAGTGACTAAAAGCTTTAGGTGAGTTTTGATATTCTTGGTTTCACTATTTGTACTCGATGGTTTACCATGACCCCGTCAGCCCTTGAATATTCAAAGTTTTCAAAATGCCACCCAGTTTTGCTGGAAAAGGGGCCACTATACTTTATATAAATGTGTCTGTGTGAAGATATCTCTGTGCTGGCAAGGGGGAGAAGGTTTTCTCTGGGCAGTGAATTGCATGCCAGACTGCTTTCACAGGGGGGTGCAATGCATCCTTCATGTTTTCTTTCACGGGACTCCAATTTAATATCAACAAGTTATCACTACATAAGACATGCACACAATACAGGTGAAATGCAAAAAAAAAACATGTTAGACAAAACTTCCTGATAAAATTCATTACCTTCCTGATAAGTTACCTGATAACTTCCTGATAAATAACTTCCTGATAAATTACCATTAAGTATCGTACAATGCCTTAAAAAACGAGACCTTGCTTTTTTTTTTTCGCTCAATAATAGTTTTAGCGGTGCCGCCTCAGTAACAATCATGATTAATGCAACTGATCGTAATTGATAGTTATCGCTGCACCGATTACGATAGATGTGGCGATGTTAAATAGCGTGTGTCATATTGCGGTTTGAAGAACCTCGCATGGTGTCTTTCATGCAAGGCATTCGTGCATTGAGCATGAGACAGTTGCTTACGCAAGGAACAGTTCAATGTGGCCTGTAATTAATCACACACCCACCGGATGAACACGATTAACTTTATAATGCATTGAACATTGCATCATCTTTCCACCTTGTTTGTTTACTTTCGTACTGTGTCGCGTAGCAGGTTCTGTTGGACGCTTTTTACTCACACCTTGTCCGCGTTCACATCACTCATATGGGCGCACAGCACAACGCATATCACAGAGGATCACAAAGGTTCCCACGTTGTGACACCCAAGTAACACACTCGCACACGCACATATGGCAACGCTGATGCCACGGGCTTTGCGGGTGATAAATCACAGATGCTCACATTCCAGAAAACACAGACCTGCCAATTCATACTTCATTTTCATCTTACTGCACACGAATGACTGCAACGACATCCGTCGAGAGTGGTCACCCTCAGGCAACATGCTTCGTGCGTCCGAGCGACTGATGAAGTAGATGCTGAGTTGCTGCTTCACGCTGCCGAACGAAGGAACACTATGAAGCTCTTCCGCTGCATTGCACTTCAAACACTGCAAAATCAGAAATGTCATCATGGAAGGATGGCCAGCGAGGATGATGCTGAGTGCGAGTCAATGAAATTGCTTCTTGACGAAGGAAAGACCGCAGGAAAACGGAATAGACGCCTCCCGGTCTCGGTGCAGCAGCATATCTTCTCTTTTCGCAAACGGCGTCATGCTGAATTTGTCATTGGTTCATCATGATTGTTACGTCACAGCAAAGAGCGGCCGCATTTGGATGCGCATAATACAAACAGATTGCCATACACTTTCCTTTTTATTTATTTATTTAGAATACTCTCAGGGCCAATGGCATTACAGAGGGGGTGGGGCAAAAATACAGAAAATGGGGAGTAGTTTAGAAAAAGGTCACAAGACAAAAAGCACAAAAAATACAGAAAAGAACTCACAACAATTCCTAAGTACATTTCGAAAAGATTACTTGTAGAGACACAAATTATAGCGGCACAAAAAAGAAAACAAAATACAAGATATGTTAACTATAAATAAAGGTCAAAATTGAGTGTATCGACAAAGATAGACACACGATATAAGTATAAATGGTGGTGCCTAGTTTAAAAGAAAAAGAAAACCTAAAGAAAAATATCACATACAGCTTCCTTAAATTGGTTAGTATCCTTTATGGTGACATCTGGAGGAAGGTGATTCCACTCATCACTTGTGTGACACAATTGAGTGAAAGAAAGAGGAGGACCTGCAAGATGGCATGCCCACTTTGTGTTGGTGATCAATGCGAGATGATATGTAATGTGGTGCCGAAAGGAGTTGGTGTCGTAAAAAGTAGTGTTGATATATTCTATGAAAGAGAGACGGGCGATTTTACGTTGTAAAGCTTGAGATGGTAAATCTAGATTAGCTTTCATTAAACTGATGCTAGCGGTTCTATTATAGTTAGATGAAATGGATCGTGTTGAATTGTTCTGAATTTTTTTTACTAACTCAATTAATTTATGCTGACTGGTTCCCATACAGAGGCTGCATGTTCTAGTTTAGGCTGGAGAGATGTTTTTTAGAGAATTGTGTGAGGGATTGTGGTGCACGTGAAAAGTTTCGTCAGAGATAGCCGAGTGATTTGTTAGCTTTGCTTGTTAGGCATGCAATGTGTGTGTTCCAGGTAAGGTCAGATGAAATGTGGACACCAAGGTTCACTATTTGTGGGATGAAACACAATCTAGAGGGGTATGTATTAGTGATATGATAGGCTAGTGAAGGGTTAGTACGCCTGGTAACGCGCATTGCCTTGCATTTGGTTATGTTTAGTTCCATCTGCCATGTGTTACACTATGCACTGATAGCGTTAAGATCAGATTGAAGAGTGGTTGCATCATTGCTAGAATTTATTTCTCTAAATATTACGTAGTAGTCATCGAAGAGATGAATATTAGATGAAACACAGGAAGGTAAGTCATTAATATGAATTCGGAATAAAAGCGGCTCCAGAACAGAGCCCTGTAGAACACCCAAGTAAATGGGTCTTGAGGGTGAGTCAAAGTTGTTAGCAGAAGCATACTGAGAATGATGGGACAAGAAGGATTCAAGCCAAATGAGAAGTTGGGGATCTATGTTAAAAGATGATGTAGTTTGTGCATTAGTAGATTATGAGGGAGTTTATCAAATGCTTTTGACGAATCAAGAAATATGCCGTCTGCAAAAGAAGAGCGATCAAGAATGGCATGCAGATGGTATGTGAATGACGTTAATTGTGTTTCGTATGAATACGATTCGGGAAATCTGTGCTGAGAGTGCGTTAAAAAGAAGTTCAACTCGAGATAGTTTGCAAGATTAGAAAACAATACATGCTCGAGAAGTTTACATGGAATGCTGGTGAGTGAAATGGGTCAGTAATTAAATGGAGAATGCTTGTTACCCTATTTATGAAGTGGAATCACCTTCCCCACCTTCCATTCGACCGGGATGGAACCCGTGTCAAGCAGTTGAAAGATTTTGGTTAGTATGATAGAACTGTAAACACTTATGCTCTTCAGAAACTTCGGGCTAATATTCTTAGCTTGTTACCGACTATAGTAATTAAACTAGCTGCAAATAGAAAAACCTGCCGTGCATAAACAGGCGTAATAAAATGCTGCTTGTCTGTTTCTGCCTGATTTATAAAAAAAAGAACTGCCTGGCGGTACTATTGGGAATGGTGCGAGTGTTTTGAAATTTCAGTTTTCACTTTGTTAGGCTGGATTGGTGGTGCCATGCAGCGGGGTTCAGTTGAACCAAGCAAGCAGGAAATTGTTCACTGGCTGCTGTTGCTGCTGTGGCTCCCACTATTACGATCTGCTCCTACTAGTGTCGGTGGTCACAAAGTAAAGGCGGGCAATCTTGGGTGCAGCAACAGTGATGCCAGAAAGACCGCTTTCAGGCGGGTGATTTTAAGTACGGCAACGCAATGTGGACCACTAGTATGTTATTTTGTTTCAAAATAAGCTCTTACTGGCACAAAACTAGCTCTACGAGGTTTCTGTACTGCCATTTCAACAATCAAACGTGGACTTAATATTTGCCTTAAGGGCCCATTCAATACTATTGCATTAAATAGTAATGGTATGACATGTAGAATAAGAACTTCAACCAAAGTCACAGCTGGGAAAACTATCTCTCTGCCTATGTAGTACAGGTCATTTGCCAATCTAAAAGCTATTAGCAAATGTTAATATTGTTAATTGGCACAAGTAGTGGGCCAAATAACTAGACTTGTGTATGCATATTAGTGCCGTGTGGTGATGGCACAGTGCTATTGTGCAGTGGTTTCCTGCATGGCCACGTGTCGTACCTGGCCGAAGGCAGCCCTGCGTGTCTGCTGCTTCTCACTGTGGACCGTGACCTTTTCTTTCCCCTGCAGGAGTGTCGACGAAAGATTGCCGAGGTGGGCACCATTCATGTTTGGCAGGCTGTTCTAGAACATGGGGTTTTTCTGTAGTTTCGACATGTTGGTACATTGGGTTACATCACAGGCCAAGAATATTCATCTCTTGAAGCCTTCATCTTTTTGGCCTTGTCTGGAGTTGCATATACAACTGTGTCCTAGTGCATGATGCAGCCTCAGCTAATCTGACGAGGGGATGTCTAGCAGATCATTTGTGATTATCTGAAATGCAACGTAACCAAAACGTGAAAACGTGACACCTGTCTGCCTCCCCTGTTTATGCTCTGCTTTGGATGTTTGGAAAGCGGCTTTATATCCCAGCAGAGAGGCAATACACAGCAAAAAGGGCATACAATTTCGCTATAACTGCAGCCTTTCATAGTATAAAAGTTCTTTTAGGATAATTTATTAAGGTTGACCAAGTTCTGTGAATACCTTGAAAAACGTTGAATTTATAAATGGCACTTTTTGTGGCGTAAAGACCTTCTCATGGTGACACCAAAGGGCAGTATCTAGTGGAGTGCCATTCACTATTCGGCCACATTGAGAGCAATGCTCGCCATCTAATCTAAGCCAATTTATTATGCATTGGCTGTTAGCCAAATTTTAGGTTGATTTCTTTTTCACCGTGGTTGTGCCTTTCACCTCGTTGGCAGAGAAAGTTCTCATACCGCTGATTAATAACCTTTTGAAAGCAAAATTTTTTCTCGAAATGCCGGCATTGAGTGTTTTTTATTGTCCATATGAATTCTTTCTGAGAATCTAGTTCAGAGAAAAATTGCTGCAATTTTTAGGATGACCACAAGTGGCAACAAAATTGTTTGTGTTGCACATCATTCACTCATGAGTAACAGCAAGATTAATTCTGCAAAAGGCTTATGTGACTGCTAAGAGATTATGCTTTTCAATAAACATTTATGTAATTCACAGATGTACAAAATAAGTTCATGAAGTGGCATCAAATGAAAGCACGGAGGGAGAAAAGCCACTTCTTATTTAGTCAGCACCATGCTTGCTTTTTTGATGTGAGTCTTAACTTGCAGCTACTAATCATATTATGGGCTGGCACAAAATGATTCTGATGCAAACCTCAAGCGAGGATTTCTCTGAATCGTCATTTGACTTCCAGGAGAAAAACTGGCACACTTTCCATACTGCAAGTGAAATGCACGGGTGAATGCAATTAAAAAGAACTGTAAGGTTGTGTGTGTGTGCATTCAGAAAACAAAAACAAGTCAGGAATTCATAATAATACTTTATTGTATCGCTTATAAGACAGAGACAATTTTTGTTAGTCCCTAAAATAGGAAGTGCAACCACAGTGGCATCGTTTGTGTCAGTCAGCCAGCATGTGCTCGGAAGCAGGTGTATTACACAGCAGGGAACAATAAATGAGAGAATAATCAATCGGTAACCTTTAAAAAGATTTTGAACAAAAAATTCATCAGTTTTGTTAGTGCAACAACCGATAGCCAGGGCATTGCTGTAGCAAAACATTGAAAGAAAAAAAAGGGGGACAGACATCAAGGCAAGAAATAGCCATCAAGCACTCCATGAAGATTGCTAACCAGCGAAGCAGAAACATGTGGCTACAGGTGGCTGGAGAAGTCGCAGCCGAAGCCAAAGTGCCGCTTGAGAAACTCCGCCAAAAGTGGGAATCTTTCCAGCAAAGGTGAATACTCCTACGACCAGCTGCAAGCGCTGTTCTTGGAAAGTTGTCTGCTGTTCGGGTGTTAGTACGATCTGTGCCCTTCCCAGGTGGAAGTTGTAATTCAAAACTGTTACGCGTGGCTGCGAAGGTGTGAACGTCTTTGACGGTGCAGCCAATGGCACGTGTGGTGGGGTGAGACATGGGGAATAGCCTCACTAACGGCACTGCTAACGGTACAGGCTTGGGTGCAGCGTAGTAAGCAACGTAACTGACATTGCGGCCAATTGAGACCTTATTGAAACTCGGGGAGAACGTTTTTTTTTGCTTCTCTTAACCATATACAGCTCTTGCTGTAAAATTTGCATGTATTCCTGTAATGTGGCATCATATGCTGAGCAGAATAAATTATTTAAAGCAGCACTCTTTAATCTGAAAGGGGTCTGCCCTATAAATGGCTGGCACAGAAACCTAGCTAATGTTCCAGCCGCACGCAGTTGTACCGTGCACGATTTACGTCCCCTCCACGTAGCTAAAGTCATCATAGCTATGACGGGTTCAGGCGAATAAGGCAACAGGCTAGGTCAACAACAAAAAAAAAAAAACACTTTATTTCTACTAACGCATAAATGTCGCATAGAGGGACGAGTGTCTACACTCGTAAAGCACGCTTGGAGGATTTGTTCTAGGGAAGAAGACGCAGTAGAAGATGTTGAGTCTGTTCGACGGGGGCTGGCTACTTGCGGATACCCCCTTTCTTTCATGAACTCGGTACAGCGACAACTGCAGCGTCCGGCTCAGTCACACACCATTGCTACAAGAAAACGCGCATCGGTGCCTTACGTCCCAGACTTCAGCGAGACCCTCGCTCGGGTATTGTGCGGCTACGACCTCCAAGTGGCTCACGTTCCGACACGAAAACTTCGAGGCCGTCTTACAAATGTCAAAGATAAGTTGGACAGACATGATTATCCCGGTGTGGTGTATAAAATTCCTTGCAAAGACTGTGAATACGGATGCATTGGCGAAACGGGCAATTACAAAAGAAGGCTCCGGGAACATTTCAATGACGTCAAGAACAAGAAAGTAGCTTCCAATGCCCTCGCAGAACATGTTGCGTCTACTGGGCACGCTATCCACTGGGATAAAGCCTGCATCATTGCCACGGAAAGAAAATTGTTACCACGTTTGCACATGGAATCTCTGGCCATTCAAGCTACTGCGCATATGTTGAACAGAAATATTGGGGCACTCCCCCCTGTGTACGCGCGATGTCTGCAACACGTGATGAAACATGCATAAGAAGAGCGCACTACGCCATTTGCGGTCACTGTGAACAAGGCTCCCATGTGGGGAGCCGAAATGTCTTTTTAAGTTTTGTGTATTTCACCTTGGTTGGCGTTTTTCTTATTTTGCACTATAGAGGGACGGTCTGGTCTATGGAGATAACAAAGGGTAGACTTACACCTTTCATCGGTCGCCTTGGCTTGCAGCAATTTCGGAGGTCAGTTGACCCTGTCCGTTCGCTGGTGCAAGAGACTGTGTGTCACTGTTCGCACACTTGTTTTCTCCAACCACCAATTTTCCTCTCTCCAATGAGGGTTCTTTCCTCGCCAAGGGAGGGTAACCGGTTTCGTGAGCTAAGATAGGAGAATAGCACACGCTGGCCGTGGTGTGAATGGCCCTCCGAAAAAGGCTTTATTGTCCCTGTCGACCTGTCCCCGCGACTAGTCTGCTGTGCTGCCGCAAAGGGAAAAGAAGCATGGGCACATGTTCTGTGGGCGCTCTTCTTAAGAAGGCCTTTGAACAACAGAGGCTGGAACGTGAGAATGTTTTTTTATTAATCATTGAGGAGGGCTAGTACGGTGGGTCTCAATCCATGCCCTCCTGCCCCCTGCTCACGATGCCACCGGTGCCCCCACTTGTCGCCACTGCATCCAATCTAGCCATCATTGCTGCCGTTCTTACTTGCATCATGGCCATTCACCGCCACCACTGTCGTCTTTGCCACTGTTACTGCCAATGTGGATTTGGTGCCGGTAGTACTGTGGTCCAGACCGCACTGTCGTTGAGCCCCGCCACTTGGGTCGTGGTGAAAGAGAGTACCCAGTCGGTGAAATGTCTCTTTTCAGCACTCTGGTTTCAGCCTCCAGCATGGTCTGGGCTGCCACTTTGGGCCAAGGCCCCTCCGGTCTGGCGGGCTCCGGATTTTCATTTTTGGTGTGCTGCCCCATGGTATTGAGATATCAGAGGCCATGAGGGTGCCCGGACAATCATGGCTCGTCCAGGTGATCGCATGCTTGTGACTGTAGTGTTGAGGCAGCTGGTTCTGCCGGCTGGGCTGGCGGTTGGTCTGTGGGCCTCTCTTGCGTAAAGGCCCAGTCGTGAGAGTGATGGGGTAGCGTTGCAATGGTGTTGCTTGATTGTCAAGGGGCTTCAACGACGACATGGAGATCGTTAGTGGTGATTTGGCAAGTTGGCAAGAGGAGCGGTCTCCCCTCTGAGCCCTCTTAGTGGCACCCCTTTCCTTTATTGGGCTCCATCTGTTGGTTGAAAGTTGACACAGAAAAAAAAAGAAAAAATTAACACACGCACAATGTGTCATGCGGGAAGCCTTGCACCTAGCGTGGGGCATACCAAATGCGGCCTGCCATGCAGAGTTTTCTCCGCCTGTTATGCAGGAAGTAACACGACTCTGGGCTTCTCACTCGTTGTCGAGGGTTCTCACCCGCCATCTGCGGCCTGAAGGAGGACTGGCCGTAGTTCTCATGCTCCTGTCATAACATGTGGAGTTTCATCTCACATACGTGCACCGTGCTGCTGCTCACTTTGCCTTTCGTGTTCGGGAGCCGACAAACAAGCAAGCAAACCTTCTCTCGCAGTCGGCACGGCCCGGACCATTTCGGTGCCAGCGAGAATGCAAACTGTTTCTGAGAACACGATGCCGCCACAACACCAGATCGCCCCACTTCGTAGTGTACCTTTCGATGCATGCAGTCGTATTGCACCTTCTACTGTGCCCTAGCTGTGCTGAGGTTATGTCGTGCTTTACGTAAAGCTTCCAATAGCTTCTCATGTATCTGCATCGCGTATTCAGCTCGTGCTGACGTCGCCACTGGCACTTGACTGCAATCGCCCCGCCGCGGTGGTCTAGTGGCTAAGGTACTCGGCTGCTGACCTGCAGGTCGCGGTATCGAACCCCGGCTGCGGCGGCTGCATTTCCGATGGAGGCGGAAATGTTGTAGGCCCGTGTGCTCAGATTTGGGCACATGTTAAAAAACCCCAGGTGGTCTAAATTTTCGGAGCCCTCCACTATGGTGTCTCTCATAATCATATGGTGGTTTTGGGATGTTAAACCCCATATATCAATCAATATCAACTTCACTGTGATCCTCAAGAACAGTCTTCATCGGATTCGGCAGTTCTCTCTAATGGGGGGGGGGGGGCTGACACTCCCCTGTAAAGTTGTTTGCGCCGCGTGGCGCACCTGTCTCAACCAAAAGCCGCAATTCGGGGGTGACAGCAGTTGGGCGATAGATGGCGTTGTGTTCGCGTTGAGCACCACTATCATGATCGTGGTTGTTACAGTGATAGTGCCGGCGGTGACTCCTGGCGGATCGGGAGCCTTGGTGGCGGGCGAGGGTTGAGCGAGTCTTTTCTGCGCGTGGCGGTTGCCGCGAACGGTTGTCTCTCGTGGTGGGTCTGCCGTGGATGGCACCGCGGGTCGCCTGGGGTAGGCCCACGTGGTGAGTGAAGCGATGGCAACGCCGCCTTTTGTGTGCTCTTGTGTTATGTTGTTTGAATGTATGGTAATTTTGTGTAATGATGACTTAGTGTTTTGGTAACGATTGATGTATCGATTTGGCAGACGATATCATCGTTATAAATTAGTTAAATAAATGTGTATTGTTCTTTGGTTTGTACCGACCGCGTCTGCTGTGTCCTTTCACTTCAAGAGTGGGGCGTGGCGCCGCTCGCCATTTCGAGACCCCACACTCTCCAGGTTCAGAAAAGAAGCCGCATACGCAGTCAATCAGATCACAGCCGATCGCAATGCAAACCTGATTTCTGGAAGGTAGGTATCCCAGTCTCTATGTCTTTCAGAGAACGCAACAAGCATGTGCTTGATGTTGCGATTGACCCACTCCATGTAGTTCGACTGACCATCGTAGGTGGTTGTTTTCTTGTGTTTAATGCCCAACGCGGCGCAGGTGTCACCAAACACCTTCACAGTGAAATAAGATGTGCTGTCTGTAATCAACAGCTCAGGGAACCCGAATCGGGTGAAAACCTCCAACTTCTCCTAGATCACTCGAGCCGTGAGCCTCCTGAGGGGGAAAAGTTCTACCCATTTAGGGCATTGTTCCGGGACCATCAGCAAGAAGTTGTTTCTGCTGGGAGTTGTGGGTTACGATCCAACTATGTCACATGCCGCGATTTGCGATGGGTCTGGCTGTTTATCGGCTGCATGAGGCTGGGCGGTCGTCCACCTTGGGACTTAGCGCTTTGGCACACATGACATAAACGGGCATATGGAATTACGTCCCGCTTCATGCCTGGCCAGGTAGCGAGGCGACGCAACTTCGCAGAAGTCTTGGGGCTGCTCGCTTGGCCAGCAATGCACGAGTCATGAAATTAGCGAAGAAGTGCTTCTCTCGATGTGTGCGGTATCACAACCTTGAATGACTCCCTTGTGTCATTGTCAGATCAGGTGTACCTCCGCAGGGCACCAATAAGAACCCAGCAGATAAAAATCCGGCACGCTCACAGCACTACCAGCTGTTCCGAACGCTTCGCACCGACAGCAATACCAGCTGCCCCCATGTGCACGATGGCCTCACCGCCACCTGGCTCTCGAAGCCTGTCTAACACCTTTGGGCAAAACAGATCTTTCTGCTGTGCTTCTAACAGGTCTGTTCTGCTAAAAACTGTTCCTACGCTAACGACAGCCATTACGTGGTTCACGCTTCTGCCTTGAACTAATGTTTGCTCCGCTGTTTTCATTAGCGCAAGTGTTTCGCTTTCAGTTTGGTTCGGGTTAGTCTCGTGACTTGCCTCGTGTCGGACTGGAACACGTGATAATGCTTCAGCTGCGGCATTCTTCTTACCCTTGCGGTAGCACACGGTAAAGTCGTAATGCTGCTGCAGCAATGCCCAATGAGCCAGGTAGCCACTTGTTTCGTTCAAGCGTCTCAATGATGTGAGTGCCATGTGGTCAATCTCAATCACAAACGCAACTCCATCGATGTAATAGTCAAACTTATGGAGAGCGAAAACTATCGCCAGATACTCTTTTTATGTTACCGAGCAGTTTCTTTGCGAGTGCATGCTGCCACTTTGAATCTTGCAAAACATGGTCCATTAGCCTCTGATACGCAGCGAAAGCTCCTACTTAGCCAAAAGGTATCCTCATGAATTGGAAAAGCCCTCTCTGGCATGTAAAAGCTGACTTTATCTTTGTCCCACTTGTCTTCGACAAGCACTTCTATAACATTGGCAGGGGACAGGCGAGGACTTACACGGAGTGACAATGATGTAGCTCGTGTCTCCGGAGCTGCGGCAATTAGTTTTCTGTCTCCAGTGGCTTTGGTCGGCGACGCAGGGTTGACAGGGAACTGCACCGTGGTGAGGGTGAACAACGAGAAGTGGACGGTCAGTACTCGGAAGTGCGTCGGCAGTCTCGTTCGACTAGTAGCGGGTCATGTTCAGCTGGCAGTCAGTCCATGTTGAGAAGGCAGTTCTTGTTGCATGTCATATGGGCCCGGTTAGAGTAGTTGGGGTATCTCGGTGCAGCCAATGTTGCTGCAAAGTGCCGATGACAGAAGCACGCAACATGGCCTGGATACCTGCGCACGTAGCAAATTGAACTGCTGTCAGCTGTGTGCCAGGGGTTTCCGTAGCACTGCTGTGTATTAGGCATCATTGGCACACACACAGGGTGAGAAGTCGACAGAGGTAACAGTCGGGGTGGGCTTGCAGCAATGGCTGCCTATGTTCAAGGTGCGGCGACAGGTGTTGTCTGAGAGGAGGACAGCAGTGCCTCAGAGACCTGATACTGTATCACCTGCTGGATGGCGGGTGTGAGACCGTAGTGGGTTCCGCTTTCCATAAATACGACAGGTACAAAAGCTGTCGAGCCACTTTCTCACGAAGAAATCGCTTCATTCCTGACATTAACGTTTTTTGCTCACCATCGAGGATCAACGCTGCGAAAGTATCATCTGTAGCCACTGGCCACTATTTCAAGACCCGTTGTTTCCGTAGCTCCTCGAAGCTCTGGCACAGGGTGGCTAGTTGAGACACGGTTTGTGGGTTTTTGGCCAGTAGCACTTGGAAGGCATCATCATCCATGCCCTTAAAGATGTGTTTAATCTTGTCTGCCTTCACCCTCGAAGGATTAAAGCACTTGCACAAGTCGAGCAGGTTATCAATGTAGTTTAGTAGGGTTGAGAGCTGGGCTAGTTGGTACGATATCAGTTTAACATATGGTGTAGTAGTGCAAATTCTTTTCTGTGTTGCTAGGGATTTGGGTTATATATGAAGCGCTGCTTTTGAAATAAAATCAGTTGTAAGTGTAGCGAGTGACGTGTTTTGTCCTCTGTCCCCGTCGAATTTGCGCTGCTACGCCATATGTTAAATCCATGTAGTTTGTGAAGCCTTTTTCCTGCAGCTGTACAGGCCCCGTAGGCCCTGTTCAGCACAGAGCTTGTGTACACAGGGACAGCGAAAGATACCGACAATTTGTTGCTTAAAAGCTAAGTAATGAATTCGGACTGGTGGTTGTTGAACTAGTAACTTGTGACTGCTTTTAGATAAAAGATAACATACTGAGATTTTGAAGGGTCCATCCCACTTGTTGCTCGTACCAATCTTTTCAAATATCAACAGTGAATCTTCGACTTCTTATTCGTCAGTGCGGTTGAAGAAAGGTAAATCGTGCACGCATAGTGCAATGGCCACGATGGCCATCGTAGACTGAATCTGGGTCGTGCCTTCTGGCTGAGCCTTCTGATCAGCCATTTTTAACAAAGTGGGCAGTCTACTGTTGCGGAGTTCCAGTTTGAATATCCTGCACCTTCAAAACTCTGAAACGGGATTTATTGGTGCAAGTGTTGAGAGCGGGTGGTGACCACCGGCACAAATGTCACAGGGCAGATCACAGCAGCTCGCGCTCGGCTCACCAGGCTAATTTGGTGGCCCACTACGGCATATCATTATTCTTCCTCCTTGCAGCAGGGTTAACCCTTCTTGAGCCTTTTTCTGTAGACGCGTTTAAACTTTCATGCCTATGTATGATAAAGTGAGCTAATGCAGCTCCTTAGTGATCTCGGGGCTTTTGCTGACCAGTTCTCTCTCTTGTGGCGAGGATGTCCTGCACGAGACAAGTAATTATGGGAATGCAAGATACTCACAGAGTAAAAGAGTATCCAAGATAGTATTTCAGATAGTGCATCTATGTTATATGCTACACAGCGGCAGTTTTGGGAAAGGCCGGCGACATGTTACAAGCCACAGAAATACAAACAGTTGGTTTTAAAGCAATTGTCATTGCTGGGAGGAAGTTTTTGCAAGCATTTTCTTTTGTGTCGTAATGCAGCTTTCTAATTGGGCTGCGATAAGCAATGCTTTCTTTGCCCTACAACAAAAATTGTTCTCTCACAGATCAGTGCAACTAGGGCTTTTTTCTGGTCGTGCATTTTGCATCAAAACTTCGTCACCAAATGGGCGGAGCTTTAGTGCTAAACAGTCAGTGTTTTTGCTACTGTGGAAATGTTGTAGGCCCGTGTGCTGAGATTTGGGTGCACGTTAAAAAACCCCAGGTGGTCGAATTTTCCAGAGCCCTCCACTACGACGTCTCATAATCATATCGTGGTTTTAGGACTTAAACCCCACAAATCAATCATTGTTTTTGCTACTGGGATAATATGTGTGAATGCAGAGCCTTCAGCGCAAGGGCTCCCTGGAGGCGCTGCAGGAGGCGACCGTCAGTGGTGGGTACAGTGTGCGTGAGGCTGGCGTGCCTGAGCTCTATCACTTCCTCTACAAGAGCAAGAGCGGCGCACAGCTGAGCAGCCCCCGGCTGGAGGCCCCCTACTCCCAGCAGCCCCAGCAGCTGCTGGCCCTGTACCGGCTGCTGCACCACCGCATGTACCAGCCGGCCTGCCCGCTCAAGATACTCTTCTGCTCCACGGGCCGGGAGACCCTCATGGGATGGGTGCGTACTTTGATGCATGTGCTTACAGGCTTCTTTTTATTGTGATAGCAACACTCTCGGATGATTTTTGCAATCGCCGTCATGTCCCGGATATGTATATGTACGTGTTTATATGTATGTATGTATGTATATATATATATATATATATATATATATATATATATATATATATATATATATATAGGCAAGAAAGGGGCGACGAAACTTTCGTGGAAGCGTCTTTACTAAACGTTTTCAGCTGGTGGACCAGCCTTCGTCAGAGTAACCAGCCTTCGTCACTCTGACGAAGGCTGGTCCACCAGCTGAAAACGTTTAGTAAAGACGCTTCCACGAAAGTTTCGTCGCCCCTTTTTTGCCTACAATACGTCGGGTCCAGCGTGAATGACGTTCAAAGCACCTGGTATATATATATATATATATATATATATATATATATATATATATATATATATATATATATAAACAGCACAAAATAAAATAAACTGGGGATTTGAACCGGTGACTCATTTCTTCAGCACGCTGCCTTAACCAGCTAGGCCACTCCGCCCATGCTGTTCATTTCACTGACGGGGGGCAATGCCACGTTTTCAGAGGGGGGGCAATGCCACGTTCCATTTCCCAAGTTTTTGTTATCGTCCCAAAGCACCACACGATTCTCAGCGCAAACCACGCCTGCAGTTTTCTAGAAGGTTCCGGACTGTAGTAGATCATTTCGATAAGATCACGCCTACTGTGCGAACGGTACAGATTGTTCTGGAACCTACACCACCGCCAGCGATAACGCTAGAACATTCGACGGCAAGAGTATAAATGCCGACGCGCTTCGCCGCTTGTCAGTAGTTGTTGATCGAAGGCCGACGCTGCGTTCGCCGCTATCAGTCCGAGACTGCTATTTGTGCGAGACTGCTACTGTAATTAGACTTTCTCTTTACCGGGCACAGGTTCGCCCAAATAAACAGTTAAATCCCAACACGAAGTCTCCTGTCTTCAGCCACGTCACGACCCCGTGACATCTGGTGGAGGTGCTGCTTCGTTCATGTACCGGACGCCCCCGTCAAGCCGTGAACCCAGCCCCCGTCGCGGAGAAGACACCGACGCCAACCAAGAGCAGCGAACGAGCCGCCGACAGCAAGGTCTCCCACCGGAGTACGGCCTTCTACAAGACAAGGCGCGGAAGACCAAGACCATGACCTCGACTGCAGCGACAATGACAACCGTAGCGTCCCAGCCCGCGATCGTCATTCATCAACCCAGGGAACCACCAACGTTCCATGGCTCATCGTTTGAAGACCTGGAATCCTGGCTAGAAACATACGAACGTGTGGCCGCCCTCAACCACTGGGACAACGAAGAAAAGCTCCGTCGTGTGTACTTCTACCTGGAAGACACCGCAAGGACCTGGCTAGAGAATCGGGAGTCCACGCTCCGAACGTGGGATGTCTTCTGCGGCGCATTTCTGCAAACGTTCGCGAGCGTCGCTCGCAAAGAGAGGGCCGCTGCTCTACTCGAGACCCGGGTTCAGCTACCAAATGAAAAGGTTAGAATTTTCACAGAGGAGATGACCCGCCTATTCCGTCACGCTGACCCAGACATGCCTGAGGAAAAGAAAGTTCGTTTCCTCATGCGAGGGGTCAAACAGGAGCTCTTCGCGGGACTAATGAGGAATCCACCGAACACCGTCCAAGAATTTGTATCCGAGGCGACCACCATCGAAAAAACGCTGGACATGCGCACCAGACAGTATAATCGTCGCCTGACTCCAGAATGCGCTGCTGCTCAAGCCAGTGGCTCCGACGACCTGCGTGAAACGATCCGAGCGATCGTGCGGGAAGAGCTGCGCAAACTGTTGCCTTCGGCGCAGCCTCAAGTGGATTCGATCACCGACATTGTGCGAGAAGAAGTCCGGCAATCGCTTCGAATTCCCGAAACACCACCGCCCGAGCAAGAAACTATGAGCTACGCCACTGCAGTGCGCCACAACGCTCCTCCCCGTCCACGCCAAAACGCCGCCCCGTCGCACTTCCGTCGCCAGACGCCACCGACGCCACCACCCCCACCGACGTCCTACCGTTCCCCAGCGGGCCAACGCAGTGCACCGAGGAAGACTGACGTCTGGCGCACCCCTGACCATCGCCCACTCTGCTACCACTGCGGCGAGGCCGGACACACATACCGCCGTTGCCAGTACCGACAGATGGGCCTGCGTGGCTTCGCCGTCAATGCACCGCGTCCACAGCCAGGAGAACGACCACGTGACATCGCCGACTACCTGACAGGAACTCGGTGGACACCACGAAGCCCTTCGCGTTCGCCGTCGCCCAGCCGCCGCACGTCACCGCACCACCGGCAGTACTCTGGCCCAACGCGGGGCCGGTCTCCTAGCCCGTATCCGGGAAACTAAGGGCAGCAACCGGTGGAGGTGCGGTTGCTGTGCGACGAACTACCGAAGATCCTCCGACGACGACGACGCCGCGACGGAGCTTTCCAAACACAACGCCAACCAGGCAAAGCCCTGACGGCGAAAGCTCACTCACCGAAGGTGGCCTGACGACGCAACATGGAAGCAGCGGAACAAGCCGACGCAGCCGTGACCCGACGCCACGCCCTAACTGTAATGCGAGACGGCGAACTAGCGACCTCGACGTTATTATCGACGGCCACAGTGTGACCGCTCTCGTCGATACTGGAGCCGACTATTCTGTCATCAGTGGGTCGTTCGCCGCAAAGTTAAAGAAAGTTAGGACAGCTTGGAAAGGCCCTGAAATCCGCACAGCCGGAGGCCATCTCGTAACGCCTGCAGGAATCTGCACAGCGAGAGTCACCATTAACGGCCGTATTTATCCTACAGACTTCGTAGTCCTACAGCGTTGCTCGAGAGATGTCATCCTTGGCATGGACTTCTTATGCCTCCATGGTGCTGTCATCAACCTAAAAACAAAGTCGATAACGTTATCCACAGAAGAAGCACTACCGCCGCCCACGCCGTCAGAACACCATGCCTTGAATGTGCTGGAAGAACAAGTCACCATTCCGCCTTGCTCAAGCGTCATTATTTCAGTCGGCGCTCCTAAATCACCTGACTTGGAAGGCGTCGTTGAAGGCAGTCAGCATCTGTTGGTCACCCGAAATATTTGCGTCGCAAGAGGAATTGCAGAGCTGCGGGGAGGCAAAGCAACGGTTATGCTCACGAATTTCAGCAATGAGTACAAACATGTGAACAAAGGAACAACGGTCGCATACATCGAAGAAATTGTCGAAGCCACCAGTGCTTTCGCCCTCACCGATTCTGCGGAACCTGCTCAGAGGAACCAAGCCCCTCCCATAGCTTTCGACGTCAATCCCAGACTTCCGAACGATAAGCAAGAACAGCTCAAGGCCCTGCTCCTGCAATACGAAGATTGCTTTTCGTCGTCATCGAAAATTCGGCAGACCCCAATCACGAAACATCGCATCATAACCGAAGAAAATGCCAGACCACTCCGTCAGAGTCCGTACAGGGTTTCGACGCGAGAACGTGAGGCCATGAAGAGACAAGTTGATGAAATGCTGCGGGATGACATTATCCAGCCGTCCAAGATTCCATGGGCATCCCCCGTGGTGTTAGTGAAGAAAAAGGATGGGACCCTACATTTCTGCGTCGATTATCGCCGCTTGAACAAAATCACAAGAAAGGACGTGTATCCTCTCCCACGAATAGACGACGCACTTGATCGGCTCCATAACGCCAAGTACTTTTCGTCAATGGACCTCAAGACTGGCTATTGGCAAATCGAAGTCGACGAAAGAGACCGAGAGAAGACGGCGTTTATAACACCGGACGGCCTCTTCGAGTTTAAGGTGATGCCCTTCGGCCTTTGCTCAGCGCCTGCAACTTTTCAACGCGTTATGGATACAGTACTAGCAGGATTAAAGTGGCAGACTTGCCTTGTTTACTTGGACGACGTCGTCGTGTTTTCCTCGAGTTTCGACGAGCATCTTCGGCGCCTTGAAGCTGTACTTCAAGCCATCAAGACTTCCGGACTCACACTGAAGCCAGAAAAGTGCAGATTTGCGTATGAGGAGCTCTTGTTTCTGGGGCACGTTATCAGCAAGTCTGGAGTTCATCCCGATCCACGAAAAACAGCCGCCATCGCCGACTTCCCGCCGCCCACTGACAAGAAAGCCGTGCGCCGATTTCTGGGCCTGTGTGCCTATTATAGGCGGTTCGTGAAAAACTTCGCCCGCATCGCCGATCCTCTCACTAACCTTACCAAGGCCGACATGGAGTTTAAGTGGGAAACGCCGCAGGAACACGCTTTCCAGGAGCTTAAGCATCGCCTCCAGACGCCTCCGTTACTTGCCCATTTCGACGAATTCGCCGAGACAGAAATACATACTGACGCAAGCAGCGTAGGTCTTGGCGCCGTTCTTGTGCAGAGGGCTGACGGACTTGAAAGGGTTATTAGTTACGCCAGCCGATCGCTATCCAAAGCAGAAGCAAATTATTCCACAACAGAAAAGGAGTGCCTCGCCATCATCTGGGCTACGTCGAAATTTCGCCCCTACCTCTACGGCAGACCCTTCAAAGTTGTGAGCGACCACCACGCATTGTGTTGGCTAGCCACCTTGAAGGACCCTTCAGGTCGCCTCGCACGATGGAGCCTGAGACTTCAAGAATATGACATTACTGTCATTTACAAGTCCGGCAAAAAACACTCCGACGCCGACTGTCTCTCTCGTGCGCCTGTCGACCAACCGCTACCCGACGACCCGGATGACGACTACTTCTTAGGAACGATAACTACCGACGACTTCGCTGAAAGACAGAGGGCCGACCCGGAACTTAAGGCCCTAATAGAATACCTCGAAGGCAGGACCGCCGAAGTCCCGAAGGTATTCAAGCGAGCACTTGCGTCGTTCTTTCTACGAAACGGTCTTCTACAAAAGAAAAACTTTTCAGCGCTTCGAGCTAAGTACCTCCTTGTGGTGCCTTCAGCTCTGCGACCAGAACTCCTGCAGGC